CATGGAAGATGTTGTTTTTCACACAAGGCGGCTGAGACGGCTCTGTATGTGGCGGCGTGCACTGAGTAGGGCTGCATTCAGCTTCATAGCAGAGATGTCTATCTTATACAGATGTACAGCAAGGTACGGTATATGAGTAACTGCTATTACTACTTAGAATGCTCTGTGTTATAATCCGCTTCCTGCTTTGGAGCAGTCTCTGGTCCGCTTGGCATTCACATATGCATTTGAATTGCACCAGAGTGGAGCTGCTGTAAAAAAGCACCGCCTATAGCTCCTCCCTGGAGTTCAGTCTACAGCCGAGCTCCCGCCCTACAGAGCACACCCTCCTTCGAAGTATTGTGGTGAAGACGTGCTGAAGTGGGAGTGTCAGAAACGGTAGGAAGTTCTTAAAGAGACAGAAGCCAATTTCAAAGCATTTAGATAGGCTGTAATATAAAGTCTAACTTATTTTGCCATATACAGCTTTTTCATAACAACTGAAGGTAACTTGATTGTGGTATAGAATTTTACTATGTGCCTGGAAAATCCATAATAGCCTCCTTCAAATGAATATACTTTGAAAAGATTTAACTCCCTTCTTACCATGTCGGAACTCTAGATTCCATCATATCAAAAGCTCTACAAGCAGACAATTGGAAATGTGTTTGGAACTGGGCCTGATCAAGAAACTGTAGAGATCATGGCTCTACTGTGGTGTGGCCTGCAGCTAAAAGTGCAAACTAACAAGGGTTGAGACAAAGACATGACAGGAAGTGTTAAAGAGCTCATCAGATGGAAACATTTTGTTAAAAAAGTGAGGCACAAATCATTCTCATCTACCCTTGTGTCGAAAGGAAGCAATAAGRCTAAACTAACTGGTGAGTAAACAGCATGGATTACACTGGATAATGTTAACATTTCTCACAACTGATGGAAACATTTGTTTTATCTTAGGGAGAGATCAAATCAGTCTCAAACCAAATTTATGCAAAACCACAACTGAATGAATCTTTCTGAAATATCTGCATCTTTTCATCCTCAATGTTTTCCAAAGACAACTCAAACTAACAACCAGGCAGTTAAAAAAAAATAAAGTATTCTAATTTACAAGAAACTTTGACAAACAAGTTTAACTTTTAAAATTAAAAAAAACAGTCATGGATTTGCTTTGTATTTTCAAACATTTTTTTTTATCCGCAGGAATTTCATATCAGAAACCATTCGATCTAGTCGTCAGCACACATTTACAAGGACAGAAAGAAATGACTTCAAACACAAATTAACATCAATGTTTCTACAAAGCAGAAAAGCCAACATATGGCCTCGACTTTCAGTGTTCTGAATAAATATTTCAACAGAAAAAATGCTTTTGAAGGGTGATAACAAGGATGGAAGAACATTCTTTGCTGCCCGTGTCGCAAGCAAATATGCAACGGGAAGAGATAAATTCTAGTCTTGGAAATACAGTTTACTTTTTTAAGAGCAAGAATCCTGCAGGGTTTCCATGTATTTAAGTTGTTTAAGATATAAACCAGGGGTCTGTATTGTGGGGTTCTGCAGTAGATCTTTGTAGAATTGACCAAAACAAAACACAATATAAGTAGCAAAGCATAGCCTGTTGGCCAGTTCATTCATTTAATGTTCAAGCTTGTAGTAGCTTGTAATAAATTTATCATTTTTAAAGCATTTGATGATGGGCCAGCCTGTGGCATAGGCACTATAGGCATATGCTAAAAGTGCCATCCATTTAGGAGGTGCCAAATATGAGGAACAAAAAATAAATATTTTACAACATTTTATCAGCGTATTATGGAAGCCGAGAATAGATGTTTTCCACATATCATTTTTCCCATGTTTTTCTCGGCATAACACATCTTATCTGCTTACTGTGTTATTTGTCACAAAATAATGAGCGTTTTCTCAAGATAAGTTATTTTTGTCCTCTTGTGCATCATCTGGTAACCATGAAGACAGCCTGCTGGTCCCGTCAGCTGGTCATCAATGAAGTTTACTATATCAGCAGGATTATTAAAGTAAGTGTAAACGCCGGTTGAGGTGCAGCCYGGTCAGCCATCTCCTTAAATGACCGGGGCTGATATGAATGTTACCTGTACAAGACAAACAAATTGCAATTTCAGCCTGTTTTAGTCCTCGACAGAAGTAAAGTCTGATGCGTTGATCAATGCCAGGTTCTCCATGATCAGGCATTTTCAGGTTGAGTTTGTCCTTGGCAAGGTTTTAAAAACACTGAGAAACTGATCGTGAGCATTCACAAAAAGGTAATCGTGTTGTTATATTGAGAAAACAGTTGTCGTTATTTCATGATAACGGCATAATTAAGTAGTTATCTCAAGAAAACCATGGGGGAAAAAGGTGAAAAACACCTGCTATCGGCCTCCATAGAGTATAGATGATTTAGTCTGTAGAAAAATCACTGATTACTCAGGTTTATGAAGGTAACTTGAAGATTAACTAACACATTTTATGTTTGTTATAACACAGAAATGTAAATGTAATATTAGACTACTCTGAGATGTGTGCATCCTTTTTTCCATTTCCCAATTTTTCATTTGTCAGAATTAGAAGGAGGCATAGAAGGACACAGAAGGAGACAGACAGAGAAGAATGAGCTGACATTTTGATTAAGGTAGCAACAAATTTTATCTGCACTTTCAAAATGTCTCCACTGTATTTCCCACTGGACATTTGAGGTTAGACAGGACGTGTTTTTTCCGTCCCAACTTCAGCTGTCAGGCATTGATCCAGCCTAGATTACACATCAGTTGCAGCCACATTTCCCAGCAAAGCCGAGCGTTATAAATCATGCAGCAGCCGACGTATGAAGACTGCATCACAGGGGMAGATTTGTTATGTTCGTAATGGTGGATTTTAATGTAGGATTTAAAGCCATGTAAAGGTCAATAKCATCCAAAGTATGGCGCAGAGATTCTATTGACCTTGAGTAAATATCAACTTGACAGGAAATATTCAAAATGTTGGTACTTGTCTGATTCTAGTTTACTGAAAGACAGTGATAAATCGGTCAAYGGTATGTTAGCAGTGACAGTTCTGTAAACTGAATATAATGTCCTACATGCTAATATTTCCAGGCCAAGTTAACATCCATTTTCTCAAACAAACAGCTTATGCTATGTCAGGCTCTGGAGCAGACCAATACAAGATTGCAGAGAATGAAAACAGGAAGTGGGAGCCTGCAAATGGGACAGCTCTTCATTTAAATCCTCTGTGCCTCAACCAGGAACGAGGTTTTTGTCTTATTGACAGACCCATCTTCTATCATCTGATTTATATGAAAAGGCCTTTCACTTCACAAACCAGTTTCCAGGCATCCCCAGGTGCCTATTCAAACTGAGCTAAAGCAAGTAGGACAAGTATGAGCTGAATAATCATCTCTACTAAGGGAAGCAAAAATCCAGCTGGGCGTTGTGTTTCTCCTGTATCTGACGAAGAAAAAAAAATGAGGGCACAAATTTGATTCGGATTCATTTTCTCCACATGCACATAAACAACTTCCGCACTGAGCTGCACACAAGTGGCAAATCCTTTTGCGTTAGCATGGTACAGGTTGTAGACTACAATCCTGTGTTTTATCTGCAGAGACATTTTGAATTAAAATGGAGGTTTGTGTGTATACGGACACAAACAAACATGTTGGTACTCTTCCACAATGATCAAAACACACAACTGATGTGAGTGACCGAAAGGCTCCAGTTTTGTCTCGTCAGTCACAGAAACGTTGGGGCTTGTCAACATGCATTTTGGTGAATTCATATTTTTTGTTTTTCTGTCATTTGAGGAGCCCTCTTGGGTCTTCTTCCATAGTGCCCATTGTGATTTAAAATGTGACTGATGGGAGAATCAGAAAGTGACATACCTTGACCTCTGGTTTCAGCATGAATGGTTTGAATAGCTTCTTTTTTTCCTACCATCTGCACAGTTCATTTAATCAACCTGGGGTTTCATTTCTTATGCAGCCACATTCTGGAAGGTTGGCTACAGTCCCATGAACCTTCAGGATTTTAATATTGTTGGCAGCTGTGGTCAGAGGGACACAAGGCTGCCTGGAGATGGTCTTGTAGCCTTTACCTTTACTATGGATATATTTTTTCTGAATTCCTCAGGCAGTTTTGCTTTCTTTGATTCATGTTTGGTGTTGTGTCAATGTTTGTTCTCTTTGGTTAGCACCGGTGCTTCAAAGCAAGAAGGTCCATCCCCAGTTCAAACCTGAAGAGTTTTAATGTTCTCTTCATGCTTGCGTGGGTTTTCTCTGGGTACTTTAGTTTCCTCCCACAGACCAAAAACATCAGGCCCAGGCTTCCCTCACAAAAGAGATCTGTGATCTCAATCGGATATGTCTGGATACATAAAGGTTTATAAATAAAAGCTTAAAGATATTTGTGGTCCAGATTAGGTTGAAATACTGACTAATGTAGAGCAGGGGTGTCAAAGTCATTTTCACCAAGGACCACGAGTATTATTGTTGCCCTCAAAGGCCCAGTTGTAATAAACTTCAATGCTTCGTGTTTAACTTCAACTAAACACAAAACATCACAATCCTTGTGTCGYTGCTGCAGCTGAACTCCACTAACAAACAACAACTGAACTCTACMTGCTATTTCACACAGAGTTTTAMCACATCTTATAAACACTGACAAGTAATATGTGACTAAATGTGAACTAAAYGAATMATACAGAAATACTATYAAAAGTAAAAGTAAGAGAGTTTCACTCACTRTTGCTACCGCTTAGAATTCTGAACTTAATACTGTTATAATTGAACYCAAAAATAGTACTCAAATTCAAGCAAAGACTGAAAAGGATACTGGACACAGAGTGTATAAAGGTAAGATGATTTATTTACAGTGGAGGGAATGGGGATAGGAGTCCTGGAAGGGAAAGGGAGATTATTAGTAAATGAGGTTTGGAGGGTATTGATGGTGAGTATTAATAATAATATCTTTCTCTCTTACAGATAATCGTCGAGGAGGCAGACCCAGAGGAGGAGGTGGAGGTGATCCGRSAGGTTTGTGTTCCACAATWTTGAGAGACTTGTTGTTTTGCAGATGACTCTGGAGGAGCAAGAGTGGCAGGACGGAGGACGGAGCTTTAACCAGGGATGATTCCAGAGTGGTGGTAATCAAGGAGATTGTCCACTGATCCAGGATCTACAGGTAAGTCACGGGGKGGGGGGGGGGGGGGGGTGTTGATTCCTTGGAAACACAGATGAAAAAACATAATAAATATCTTTAAGGTTCTCAGAGGTAACCCACAGTAGACTGTCTCAACAGTACCGAAGTGACTGAATGATCTCACGCAGACGCTTAAGTACCAGGTGGACTCATCAACAGAAGTTGGAACAAGTGGTTAATTGGAAGCTCCGCCTCTGCCACTCTGAATCTGCAAGTAAGTCTAAAAAAAACAACAAACACCAATATCCACAAATACATCTTTGAAGCTCTCGCGGGCCACATAAAATACTGTGGCGGGCCACATTATGCCTGCAGGCCTTCACTTTGACATGTGTGTCATAGAAGTCAAAAGCTTCTTAAAGGGTACCAACAAATACATTCTTTCTATTTCAGCACATCTTGATAAAATAAACAAAAAATCATTTATTTTTTATCTTTTTGTTTACTTTTTCACAKTCTAAAGGCAAGCCAATATAATTAGATAGTTGCTTTTAAATGAATTAGTTTTTATGAGAAATGGCATTTAATTAGTATTTTTATGTGGGTAAATATTTCTGTTTAGTTGTTTATTTTAGTTTTAGTCGGGAAATGAAATGTATTGCAGTGGCCAAGGGAGACTTCCTGTTCACCCTCATGCAAAGATGACCTGGTGTCTTCCCTATACTTTTATAACTGTAGACTGTTGCTCACCGAAAGATATACCCTCTGGTATGAACCTGAGAGGATGAGAAAGTTCATCTCCTCAATGCCCAGTTTAAATCTGACACACTCTCTTTGCCTTGCAGGGTGAGGAGGAGAGTTTTTCCCTCCTCTTCCCAGAGGGAGATGGGCGAGCGCTATGCTCACAGCATATAAGAGGATCACACGGCAGTGATGAGGACTTGGCCATTTCATGGCAACTCTCTGCTGTGACAGATGGGCAGTGTGCTATTGCCATAGCCTGAAGTTGAAAAAAACCCAAGCTGCTTACTGAGTGAGTGAGATGAATGGGAAAAGAAGGTGGGCGGAGCTTCACTCAGAAAACAAAAACAAAAACAAAAACAAAAAAAAAAAAAAACAAGCATGGAAATAATGAGACACAAAGAGCAAGACGCATGAAGAAAGTCATAAATACTCTAGTTTGATAAGGACGGCTTTATTTTGAAAAAGTGTACTTTAAAGAAAGAGTGAGATGGCAACACATCGTGACAAGAACAGTTGCAAAAGAGAAACAAAAAGAGATAGTGCAAATTACTGATGCATGAGACCAGAGAGGGAAATATATCTAATCTTAGCCAGTGTGGTTAGAAACCACACCAACAGTGTTAAATTAGTTTCCCACAGGGAACTCATCTGTTGCTACCACAGAGAAACTCTTGAACACAGTTCAAATAAAATAAATGATTTACTCTCTAACTAATATTAAATTTTCTATTTTAAAACATGGTTGTTAATGCAGATTAAGTTGCCAAGTTAAGTTTTTCAGTGCAAAAACACCTCGTGCTTGGGGATTTTACACTTTTATCTTTGGTGTATAACAACATATGTAACATTTAAACAAACTGGCTGTAACTATTCATTGCATAAGATGATCTTAGTCTAAAATTCTAGCATAAAAGGCGGCCTTTAATTATGCAAGTAGACGGATGTACTAAAATAGATGTTACTGAATATTTTGCATGAACTTCCCAACTTCTTGGCTTTTTACTGCTTAAATGAAAATAATTCTCTCAGACAAAATTAATTTTCGCCTTTTTGTTTCGTGATAAATGCTGCCCGACACCTCGCAACTTCCCTYTGTGTCCCTACAGCACTTTGTTTCATGGTTGGCATTTAGATAAATGCCTTCAGGTTCATCCAAGTCTAACTCTGATACAGCTGAATGCACCCAAACAGCCAAACTTTAGAAGTTGTTTTTTTACAGCTAATATTCTTCTCTTGCCTTGGGTTTATTTTCTCCTAAGAGATCAGCGTAGAGAAAAATTACATATTATGTGTTTAGTGTAATTATCAAAATGAGAAACAAATATGTTGTAAATCCCTGTAAACTTCAGGTGATAACTTTTTTTTAACCAACACAGACATCTAAAGAATAAAAGCCAACAAAGAAAATGAATTCACAAAAGTAGTCAGGTATCTGAGGAAAATCTCAAAGCTTGTAAATACTTCAAATTAACTGCTACAAAAGGTATTTATGTGCTAAGTTAATGGGATTGAAAAAAATATTGAATTATTCAAGTGTCTAAGGTACTTATTTTCACTTTGACTTCCAAACTTTTCAGTTTATCCACAATATAAAAGAAGTGGATCTCTGCAGCCTTGTCTGGTTGAAGTAAACATTTGCTGCTAAAAAGCTAATTAAACAAAGGCATAATGAGAGCCCAAACAGCCGCAATAACAATTGTCCAATCTGTGTCTTCTTATGACTTCTGGTTTTATCTCTTGTAACAATTAATCAAATGGTAATGATTTTTAAATTTCAATTAATTTACAACCCACACTGGGCCCTCAGAACAGAGCTTTGGGAAATGCAGCTTTTTTCTTGTAACTTTAGGGCATGTATTGTGGAAATAAACAGTATTATGAGAATACAACCAGAGTATAGGGACTAATAAGTTAAGAGAAATAATTACAATTCTTTATGTTTTAACTAGTTTTAGTAGAACTTGTTAGAAGTGAAGCAACAAGTGTCACAAGAGCAACACAAACAACTTAAAGAGTAACTTACCCCAAAATTAACTTTTTTAGCTGATAAACTGTCTAGAATGTGACTAAAATGTTATATAGTACTGTTTCTGTGCTAATTTTGATGTTTTAGTGTGTATTTGTTCAAATCTGTGATATTTGGTCAAAAAACGTCTTTTTGCTGCGCATACGGGTAGAGCAGTGGTTCTGCAGGCTAATTTGCATGTTGGTTAACGGCTCTCCGC